GTATGTGTTTTGGGTATAACTTCCCTTGTCGTGGTCATGTTGTAATCTCCGTTTCCTGTGGTCTGTATGATAGCAGAGGCTCAGAGCCCCCTAGCAGCATGGGGAACTGTCATCAGCTCCATTTCCTCAGAGGGCTGTGCTCCGTCCACACGCAACTGGCACAAATATGCAGATGTATACTGCAATGCCAAGATTATCTAGGGACATCAATGACCAGACACAATGTCAGGGGTTTTGAATCTTCATGTCTGCATTTTCAGATTATGATTACAAAATCCTGATTATGATTGAAAACATAAATAAGTGATTAATAATAATAATAATAATAATTTAAATTAAATAAATAATAATAATAATAATAATTAATAAATAATAATAATAAATAAATAATACATTAAATTGTTAAATAATAATAATTATGTAATAATAATAATAAATATAATTATTTATAATTATTTAATAATTATAAATTAAATAATAAATTAAATTATTATTATTATTATTAATTATTTTCAGATTATGACTACAAAATCCTGGTTATGATTGAAAACAAAAATAAGTGATTAATTCATTAATTGAGATTTACTGTAAATTCTACTTAACAACCTGAACGTTTTAGGAGTTTGAATACGTTACTAATAAAATGTATGACATAAATTAAGATGAAATATTTTAGATCCTGCACTATTTCTAGGTCACTAATCAAAGTGATAATGTGAACTCACTTGTACATGCTTAAAAAAAAATCTTCTATGCTATTTGCCAGGTCGCATTAAATGGGGAGATGTTATACAAATTAAATGTACTTATAATGAATAATTTCCTGAAAGGACAAAAGTCAAGCAGAAATTATTTAAATCATATTGTAGAAAATTATTTCAGTCAGGCATTGTGGTATTAACAAATAAACTAACAAAAATTAACAAATATGAATAATCCTTACAAAAGTTTTGGACTACCACTAAAATCATGTTGCACTTTTGCTTCAATAATTTTCCCCTAAGACTGGAAATTGAAGCAACATTTTCTGCATGAGCCTCCCTGTGCTCCCCTCAGTGTCTGAAAACTCAATGTGCTGTCACACATCTGAAAATGGGGGTTTCTCTTCCTGTGTTGGCTAGCTTTAATGCCAGCAGAACAGGTCAGGAAACATGACCACAACGCTCCCCGATCAACCTGTCAGACCTCATTTACTCAAAGTCAAGGAGCCACGAGACCCCTCACCTCCCAGACCCTCAGTGTCATGTTACAACACCCCCCAAACTCCATCAGATCTCAGCCTCATGAACGAAACGAATGGCTCTCTTGTTGTGTAATGAATGATCCTGGCTGCTTTTCTCTCTTTTTGGGATCTACGTATTTTAGAGAAAGCAGATTTTCCTTTTTTTTGGCAGGCATGTTCTGTTTATTATTTTGTGTACAAGTTAAATGTTTTAGAATAATAAGAAAGATCTATTATAGATGAAAAACAAATGTGGGCATTGCAAAATAAAATTATTTGGACATTTAAGAAAATGTCCATTTCCAATTAGCTACTATAGAGCAGCAGTTCTTAATTCTGGTCCTCCCGATTTTAAAACGAGTGCTTCGTTCATAAATCTTACCTTCTTGCTGTGGAAATACAAACCAGAAGACAGAAGACAATGTGTACAGTGCTGAAAAAAGGGTGTGGCTAGCCATGCAATATTGTTCAATATCACACCTGTTCTGATACAGAGCATTATCACACTCACACAGCTAGTGTGAAATTGCATTTATACAACAGTTTGAGTGACCAGGCGATATTGCTCTAATCACAGCCATGCTGATTTCATTCTTTCGTTCATTACCCAAAACTCATGACCATAAGAGGGTTGGAATATAAATCGACTGGTAGATTGAGGGCTTCACCTTTTAGGCTTAGCTCTCTCTTCGACACGACGGCTCGGTAACGACTACATTACTGCTGCTGCTGCACCAAAACGCCTGTCAATCTCATGCTTCAGCCTAGGGATGCAACGACATTTTTTCAGATCCGATCTGATCCAGAAAATTCTGAGCATCGGCCAATTCTATGGAAGATCCAATCTGATGCCAGCACAGTTTTTTTTAATCAATGTAGAATTTCTATACGTCTGTGCAGTGGCGTAGCAAGTCAGCCCCGGGCCCATATGCAAAATAATTTGTATGGGCCCCCCCCAAACGTTATTACCTACAACTCGATTAACTTATTGTTGATTTTTCTGAAGTGATTAACGTTAGTCAGCCCCGGGCCCATATGCAAAATAATTTGTATGGGCCCCCCCCAAACGTTATTACCTACAACTCGATTAACTTATTGTTGATTTTTCTGAAGTGATTAACGTTACGTCTATTCACAAGCTATTTTATTTATGGTATAAATGCTTGGAAATAATATTTAACGTTTTCAAGTCCATTCAACATTTGTAGCACACAAACCACCCAATAATCGCAATAAGCTTTGTTACTTATATTAAAACACAAAGTGTCAGCTTTCTGTCAACTTTATAATAAAATACTACAAACAATAAATTTGTAGTTTTTACGCTTCTAAATTTGTAGTGAGATAACTATATTCGTCTCAGTTCAAGCAGCATGTGAATCAATTATATTTTCCTCTTTAATATTTATAGCACGAAATAAACATGAATAAATATTTTAATGTGTAACAGGTATGGAAAGTAATATGTTCATTTCATATGTAGAATTACAAAAATGTTCACGATGTATACCTGATATGTCTGTCTGTGTGTGCACCTTCCCCTTTAAATTTCTGACAGCCGCGTTAAAGGGGTCATATGACGTTGCTAAAAAGAACTTTATGTTGTGTATTTGGTGTAATGCAACGTGTTTATGCGGTTTAAGGTTAAAAAAACACATTATTTTCCACATAATGTACATTATTGTTGCTCCTCTAT